CTCTCCTTTAAACCTGGAGAAAAACAGGCTTTGTTTTCTCTGCACTGAATAAGGTTGCTAGCTCTAGGTTACGATTGATCCAGCGCACGCGCACTGAATCCCATGGGTGTGAAGCACAGAGACCACGTCGAAGATCATAAGTTCCAAAGCAGCAGATAGCCAGTCTTCTTCCCAGGGCCCGCTTGCACCCTAATGGTATCTCCGCCAATTTTCGGCGGTGGTGCATTGATGGAACAGTAGTGGCGGCGGCTCCTACTCGAAAGCCTGGCGGAAGAGTTCCATGTTGCAGGCCCTGTGGAACTGCACAAGATCCCGCAGGGCCCGGATCTCCTCCGGGAGCTCATTCCACCAGGTAGGAGCCGCCACCGAAAAGGCCCTGGCCCTAGTCTCAGCAAATTTGACGTCCCTGAGGCCTGGGGTAGTCAAACGATGTTAGCCCCCCGACCATAGTGCCCTTGGGGGAACATATGGGGAAAGGCGGTCCCTTAGGTATAGCCAGACCCTGACCATAAAGGGCTTTAAAGGTAAGAACCAGCACTTTAAAGCGGATCCGGTACGCTATTGGCAGCCAGTGCAGCGCCTTCAGCGCAGGCCAGATGTGGTCCAGCCTAGGGAGATCCGTCAATGTCAACAGTAAAAGTGATTGCACCGCTTGGAAACAGTGATCATAATGTTGTTGAGTTCATCATTTGTACAAATAGAGAATTGGCCAAAAAGACTCACACAACCATTTTTAACTTTAAAAGGGGTAATTTCTCTGATATGAGGGGACACGTGGGGAGGAAACTGAAGGGAAAAGTAGAAAGGGTCAAAACAATTGGGGAAGCTTGGGATCTATTTAAAACTACGATCCTAGAAGCTCAAAAAATATATATTCCGCAGGTTAGGAAAGGCACAAACAGGTATAGGAAAAAGCCTGCATGGTTAACAAACAGAGTAATGGAGGCTGTAAAAAGTAAAAAGAATTCCTTTAAGCAGTGGAAAGCTAGTCACAGTGAGGCTGATAAAACGGAACACAGGCTATGGCAAATAAAATGCAAGTCTGAGGTCAGGCAGGCAAAAAGGGAATATGAGGAGCATATAGCAAAAAACGTAAAAACCAACAATAAAACTTTCTTCAAATACATTAGAAACAGGAAACCAGCCAGGGAGGCAGTGGGGCCCTTGGACGACCAAGGGGTAAAAGGAGTATTGAAGGATGATAGGGAAATGGCTGAGAAGCTAAATGCATTTTTTGCCTCCGTCTTCACTGTGGAAGATGAGAAGTGCTTGCCCACTCCAGAACCACTGATTTCAGGAGGGGTGTTGAAAGACCTGAGTCAGATTGAGGTGACGAGAGAGGAGGTCCTAAAACTGATAGACAACTTAAAAACTGAAAAATCACCAGGCCCAGATGGCATACATCCGAGAGTTCTGAAAGAACTCAAATGTGAACTTGTAGATCTCCTGACAAAGATATGTAATCTTTCCTTAAAATCTGCCTCCATTCCTGAGGATTGGAAGGTAGCTAATGTCACTCCCATCTTTAAAAAGGGTTCCAGAGGAGATCCGGGAAATTACAGGCCAGTCAGTCTGACGTCGATACCGGGTAAATTGGTGGAAACCATTATTAAGGAAAGAATTAGTAGGCACATAGATGAACAAAACCTATTGAGGCAGACTCAGCACGGTTTCTGTAAGGGAAGATCTTGTCTCACTAACCTGTTAGTGTTCTTTGAGGGGGTGAACAAACATGTGGACAAGGGGGATCCAATAGATATTATTTACCTTGACTTCCAGAAAGCTTTTGATAAAGTTCCTCATCAAAGGCTCCTAAGTAAGCTCAAAAATCATGGGATAGAAGGACAAGTCCTTTTATGGATCAAAAACTGGCTAGTTCATAGAAAACAGAGAGTGAGTGTAGGTGGGCAATTTTCTCAGTGGAGGGTGGTAAGCAGTGGGGTACCGCAGGGATCAGTACTTGGTCCACTGCTTTTTAACTTGTTCATTAATGATTTGGAGATGGGAGTAAGCAGTGAAGTGGCTAAATTTGCGGATGATACAAAGTTGTTCAGGGTGGTGAAAACCAGTGAGGATTGTGAGGCACTCCAAGGGGATCTGTCAAGGATGGGCGAGTGGGCGTCAACATGGCAAATGGGGTTCAATGTGGCCAAGTGCAAGGTGATGCACATTGGAGCCAAAAATCCTAAATATAAATACACATTGATGGGGTCTGAACTGGCAGAGACTGAGCAAGAGAGAGATCTTGGAGTTGTAGTGGATAACTCACTGAAAATGTCGAGACAGTGTGTGACTGCAATAAAGAAGGCCAATGCTATGCTGGGGATTATTAGGAAGGGTATTGAAAACAGATCAGCCAATATAATAATGCCCCTATATAAATCAATGGTGAGACCTCATTTGGAATACTGTGTGCAGTTCTGGGCACCACACCTTAAAAAGGATATTATAGCTTTGGAAAAAGTGCAGAAAAGGGCAACTCGAATGATAAAAGGGTTGGAACACTTTCCCTATGAGGAAAGGTTAAAGCGCTTAGGGCTCTTTAGCTTGGAGAAAAGACGACTGAGGGGTGACATGATCGAGGTTTATAAGATTATGCATGGGAAAGAGCAGGTAAAGAAAGAGGTACTTTTCTCCCTTTCTCACAATACAAGAACTCGTGGGCACTCCATGAAACTGCAGAGCGGTCGGGTTAGAACGGATAAAAGGAAGTACTTCTTCACCCAAAGAGTGATTAACACATGGAATTCACTGCCACAGGAAGTGGTGGGTGCTACAAGCATGGACGGCTTCAAAAGGGAATTAGATAAGCATATGGAGCAGAGGTCCATCAGTGGCTATTAGCCACAAGGTATAGCTAGGGGCTCTGGGGCAAGTGATGCTCTGTCTTCTTGGTGCTTGGGGGGGGGGTCAACAGTGGGAGGGCTTCTAATGTCCTGGCCCCACTGCTGGACCTCCTGATGGCACTGGTATTTCTGGCCACTGTGTGACACGCAGCCGCCCGAGGGTTCTTCCCGGAAGACCCAGTCTACGCTAAGAACTACGCCCAGGGGCCACCCTGGATTCCTGCGAGAGTGGTCCGGGTGCGAGGGCCTCGCTCCTATGAGGTCTCCTGTGAGGACGGACAACTGCTACACCGCCACATCGACCAACTGCGGCGCCGGGTCCTTCCGAACGACCCCGAGGACCTGGAGCCCCAGGAGCACAACTAAACTTCAGGCCACGCACCCGAACCGCAGAACCCGGCCTCGGCCCCGGTCACTCTGGAGCCCCCGGCGTTGCCCCCGCAGGAAACACCGCCGTCGGAAACGCCACAGCAAACCGCCCCGCCACGGCCACAAGGAGCAGCCCCGAACAGCACCCCGGACCTCCGCCGCTCTACAAGGCCCAGGAAGGCCCCCGCGTATCTACAGGACTTTGTATGTGGGTAGTTTGGACTATGGGGGGAGGGGTGTAATGTACTGTCGCCATTTCCACGTGTAGTGCATTCAGCCTGACATGCCCGGACTTGCCCGGGCTGACCAGGCAATACTCCTCAGTAGCTTCAGTCGAAAGACAAAGGATCCATAGGATCCTAGCTGGCCCAATCAAAGGGCCAGCTTCCCAGCCGGGAGACCAATGGTCGCCCGGTTACTGTAAATAGCCTATCGGGAGTAGGGGGTGTGTTTAGGTGTGCTTGGTGGCGGGTTTTCTGAACGCATATAAACCGGCCTGCGAGCTGGTTTCTTTGTCTTGTTCCTGAACTAATAAAGTACTCTTGCTGAATCACTCTTGCTGAATCACTCCACGTTCTGAGTACTTTTCACCCTCTGAGAGGGACTTGTTGATAATCTTCCGTAGGGCACCTCGAAACCCCTTGTGGCCCGCCTTAATGAACCAGGAGGGGCACGGATCAAGATTGCACGTGGTTGGACGCACAGATACGAGCAATCTGTCAACTTCGTCCAGGCTGAGTAGGCTGAAACGTTCTAAACCCGGAATCGAAGGCGCGCAAGGGGCCTCGTGTTCCCTCAACGTTTCAGTTGTGGCAGGGAGATCTCGGTGGAGCACCAGGACTTCATCTGCGAAATAGCTCGCAAATGCCTCACAGCCAATATCCAATTCCCTAACGTTTTGCCTGTCCTGTGACAGAGCTGTCAAAGACCGAATTATACTAAACAATTGGGCTGGGCGTGAGCTCGCAGATGCAATCTCGGTCGCATAGAAGTCTCTCTTAGCGGCCTTGACTGCCATCTCATAGGATCCCATAAGCGTCCTATAAGATGTTCTCGACGCCTCGTCGCGAGCGTAGGCTCCAGGCAGGGTGTTCAAAAATATGCTTGAGGTGATCAGTGAGCATTTCTTCACTTGGCTACAGCAGGGATTTCAAGACAATGATAGTAATGCTTAAGAATATATTTGCATATAGCTACGGGAGGGACTAGGATGCATTTACTGAGTCCTTCAGATCCCCATTAACCATAGAAAAGCTTTGCTGATTTCCCGCCAGGTCAAGCAGTTGATAGTGGCACAGTCCTCTCATGAAAGTGGATAGCCCAGGCTAGCCCGATCTTGCCAGATCTTGGAAGCTGAGCAGGGCCAACCCTGGCAAATACTTGGAAGGGAGACCTCCAAGGAATACCAGGGCTGGGACCAGAGGCAAGCAATAGTAAGCCACCTCTCTGAAATGTCCAAGGTCCCACTAGGGGTTGCCAGAAGTCAACCATGACTTCCAGGCATGCACGCACACATGCACACACACCACACTCATCAAAAAAACCTCTTTCCATAGGACAGAAAGCATTTAGGAACAAAGGAGCTGGTTGGTGAGGTGGTGATATCTCAAACAGATATGGCCATAAGCTAAAATGTTGTTGTTGTTGTTGTTGTTTTTTTTTAAAGAATTCCCCTCCCTTCATCCCTAGCACTGCCAGTCTAATTTTCTGCCCACCTCTGAATCACTGGGATGATGGAAGTAAGAGGAAAATCCATATATCATATTTTAAACAATGAAGACTCACTCAGCAGTAAGACACCATGTCCTGGGGAAGAAGTTAAACTCCTTGGGGAAAAGTTTTAGCATCCTATTCATGTTCCTGGCCAGAAGATCTTTCCTACAGATCTCAGACATCCCGGGGAAATGATTTATTTTCTAGAAAAAACAAAATCCTGTCTAAGTCTGTAGATCTTGTTCATGAATTAGGAAACCAAACAAAAACAAGAGCTCCACTCCACAGGTGACAATAAGTACCTGGTAACTTTTCATTTCCAGCACCCGGTCCAGTGAGACTGAATAGTCTGTCCAATACAAGGTCCAGTCATCCACCTCGGTGGCTTCCCGAAGGCCACACATCTTAGCAGCTCGCCGCACTGCACCGCCAATAGAGAGACAGTTGACATCATCATTTGCAAAGGAACATCTGATGACATTAGCGTTGCTAGCTCTGAGCTGGGAAATATCTGAAGGTTTTGGGGGTGGAGCCTGATGAGGACGGGGTTTGGGGAGGGGGGCTTCAATGGGGTCTTATGCCACGGAGTCCACCTTCCAAAGTGGCCATTTCTTCAGGGGAACTGATCTCTGTCACCTGGAGATCAACTGTAATCCCAGGAGATCTCCAGCTACCACCTGGAGGATGGCAACCACATGTGACATTTTAGCAGTAAACTGAAGGTGCAGAATACATGTGTACCAAGGACATGCTTAGCCCTGATAAAAAATGATATCTTTCTGTGGTGAGGATTTTCTTGCATGCCAAGATCAAGCTAAGACTTGATCTGATGGCCCCCAAGACTGGAAGGCTAGGGGTGGAAACTAGCACCAATTTGCTGTAACACATCACAGGCTCCTGGGAACTAATATTTATTTATTTATTTTTATTTACTTCATTTAGACCCTGCCTTTTCTTCACAATGAGGACCCAAAGTAGCATACATTACCCTCCTCTCCTCCATTTTATTGTCACAACAACCCTGTGAGGTAGGTTAGATGGAAAGGGTCAGAACTGCCTGAGTTTCCATGGTTAAGTGGGGTTTCAAACCCAGGACTCCTAAATCCTAGTCTGACACTCTAAACACTATACCACACTGGTTCTCAACATTGTGTAAGGCAGCAACAGCAACTAGATTTGCAACAGAATCAGTCTGTCCATTATGAGAATTGGGGGGAGGGGGAAGGGTTGGAACACTTTGCCTATAAAGAAAGGTTAAAGCACTTGGGGCTCTTTAGCTTGGAGAAATGACAACTGAGCGGGGACATGATCGAGGTTTACAAGATTATGCATGGGATAGAGCAGGTAGAGAAAGAAGTACTTTTCTTCCTTTCTCACAGTACAGGAACTTGTGGGCACTCAATGAAATTGCTGAGCAGTTGGGTTAGAACAAATAAAAGGAAGTACTTCTTCCCCCAAAGAGTGATTAACACATGGAATTCACTGCCACAGGAGGTGGTGGCAGCTACGAGCAGGGACAGCTTCAAGAGGGATTTAGATAAGCATATGGAGCAGTGGTCCATCAGCGGCTATTAGCCAGAAGGTACAGATAGGAACTCTTAGTCTGGGGCAAGTGATGCACTGTATTCTTGGGGGGACAGTGGGAGGGCTTCTAGTGTCCTGGCCCCACTGCTGGACCTCCTGATGGCACTTGGTATTTTTGGCCACTGTGTGACAGAGTGTTGGACTGAATGGGCCACTGGCCTGATCCAACATTGAGTTCTCTTATGTTCTTACGTTCTCTTAATGGGGTAAAGAAAGCCTATTTCTATGGGCTCGAAAGTGTTTTGCCTAGAGCAGTATAGTTAACATTTCAAGTAGTCAAAAGGCAGAACTTTGGTGTCCTGATATCTTTTTGCCTCTCTCCACTTTCCACTCATTTCAGAAGCAGAATATATTATGGAAAAGAGAAAATGTACATGATTTTATGCAAGCTGTATTCGGCTGCCCTGACCTAGATAGCCCAGGCCAACCTGATCTCATCAGATCTCAGAAGTTAAGCAGTGCTGGCCCTGGTATTTGGATGGGAGACAACCAAGGAAGCTTGGAGCCCCGACACAAAGGCAGGCAATAGCAAACCACGCCTGAACGTCTAATGCAAATAAATGTTTTTTTTCACTGTTTGCTAAATCTGACTAAGAAGAAACCAAGGTCTTTCCTTTTACAATTGGACGATTGGACTCACCACTCTCATATTTGCAGTTGGTCAGATTTATCACTGGTCATCTGAAAAACACAAAAAGAAGAAGAAAGACAGAGGCAGACAGGCAAAAACAAACTCATGGTTTTGTGGCAAAGCCTTTGAGAACTGAGTTCTTCAGTGGTCCCCAAACACACTGAGCCTGCAAGAGCTCTTGGAATTTTGAAAATTGCTAATGGACATCACCACAAAATGGCTTCCAGGGTTGCCAGCCTCCAGGTGGGGCCTGAAGTTCTCCCGCTTTTACAACTGATCACCAGCTGACAGAGATCAGCCCCCTTGGAGAAAATGGCTGCTTTGAAGGGTGGACTCCATGGCATTGTACCCTGCTGAGGCCCCTCCTCTCCCCAAACCCCGCTCTCTCCTGGCTCCACCCCCAAAGTCTCCAGGTATTTTCCAACCCAGACCTGGCAACCCTAATGGCTGCCATGGAGGAAAGGACGGGGCCAATCACAAAATGGCTACCTTCGGGATTATCACAAAATGTTGAGAGGCTGCAAGGCATCCTCCTGTGATGGAGGCAGCTGTTTTTAATGAACGTTCCCTGCAGACACAAAGGGCTAATCTGAAGCACTCCATGCTCCAATGAGATAGAAGAAAACCAGAATTGGCTATCTGCTTTGGGAACAAAATGCTCTGATGAAAAAGCAAAGGAGCACTAGGAAATGTATCAAAGGAAAGCATGGTTCTCCTGGGTGCTATGGTGGGGATCACTGGTCTACTTTGTAAGATTTAGGCCTGTGCTTTCAGTGTGGATGGAGTGTTGGATAGGCACAAGAGAGCTGTGTTCCAATCCCAATTGAACCATGGATTCACTTTGGCAAACTATTGTCACTCAATCTATAACCTACATCATAGGATGGTTATAATAAGAATACAAGTTAAAGCTTTGGTTAAATTATTTATAACAGTACATTATTAATAGCGTTGCCAAGTCCTATTTTACCTGGAGTGGGGGGAGTCCCGGCCCTACCTGGCTGTGATGACATCACCCAGAAGTGATGTCATCGCATCGGGCACATTGGGGGCAGGGCCACTATCATTCAAGGGAAAACCATAGAGTCGAATGACAGAGCGTCCCCCCGGGTGACGTCATCACACCGGGCACGTCTTCGTGCTCCCGGCACTTTGGGGGTGGGGTTCCCCCCAGCGGCCCGATCCGGGCCAGCAAGGAACGGACCCATCGAGCGGGGGTTTCCCCGCCCCTCCGGGGGACCTGGCAACCCTAATTATTAATGATTAGGAATGAAAATACTTTCAAGATGGCGGAATGACAAATCACCTAGGCAAATTTTGTTCTCCCACCCCCTTTTGCTAAGGTAACGCAAAGAGAAATGTTTTAATAAAATTAATTCATTCATTTTAGGGAGGGAAGGTGGCATGGTATAGCCTGATCTTTTAAGATCTCGAAATCTAAGCAGGGTCAGTACTTGGAAGAGAGACCACGAAGAAAGTCTCTGCAGAAGAAGGCAGTGGCAGACCACCTCTTCTTAGGCAGGCCCTATCCCCAGCCACCGAACAGCTGGCTGGTGGTGGGGGACTTAGGAGAAAGGAGGCAGCCTAGGCCTCTTGCTGGTGTCACATAAGAAGTGATGTAATCATGCTAGTGACATCTGGGTGACACTCTGGTATTTGGGCAAAAACTCTATGGTAGAAGCCAGTTTTACCATACAGTTTTTGCCCAAATAGCAGAGCAACACCCAGATGTCACTGGTGTGATGACATCACTTCCTGTGTGATGCCAGTGATGAGGCCTGGGCCTTTCTCTTTCTCCTCATAAGTCCCCCCCATTGCCTGCTGGCAACCCTACCTCTGCTTCTCACTTGCCTTGAAAGCCCATTGCTGGGGTTGCCATAAGTTGTCTGCGATTTGATGGCACCCCTCTCTCTCTCTCTCTCTCTCTCTCTCTCTCTCTCTCTCAGACACACACACACTCCATTTCAAAAAGCTCATGTATCATTTTGTATCGGAACATGTTGCATTAAGTGTTCATTAAGTTCTTGCTTATTAAAATGTAAACTTCAGTTTAGGTCATATACTGATAGGGTTGCCAAGTTCCCCCTGGCCACTGGCAGGGGATGGGAGGGTAGAATGCCATGTTGGGAAGGTCCTAGATATTTGGGAATGGAAGCTGGGGAAGAAACAGACCTCAGTAAGGTACAATGCAATAAAGTCCACCCTCCGATGCCTCAATTTTCCCCAGGGAAACTGATCTCTGTAGTCTGGAGATGACCTGTAATTCCGAGGGATCCCCAGGTCTCACCTAAAGGCTGGCATCCCTGGATACTGACAGTGGATGACTTCATTTCTTTACCAGTTGTTTTCTATATTGGTTCCACTGTTCAATTAAATGGAGCCGTTTAAAGCAATAATAAAATTATAAGAAATTAGGGAGAAGAAGTTGGGTTCAGGCAAGAGGTTAGCTTTTGGTTGTGATGTAACATCCAGGGTTACTCCCTATATTACAACACTTCTGTAATAGCATTGATGAAATTACAAGAAGCTGTGAACAGAAGGTAGGACAGATTTTTGTGGTAGTAAATTCAGAAAATGTGGTACTCAAAATACAACACCATGAAGGCTGAAAAATAAGTGTGGCTCCTAAATTTTTAGGCAGCTCCGATACAAAGAAACTTTGTCATGCCTGTGTAAGGCCAGTACCATATCCTATGCAAGAGCCGCAGATTGAGCAGTATAAGATACATAAGATGCACACAAAGAACTGTGGTCACTTCTAAGTCCTGCTTATATATCCATAAGAGAATAATCTTTGGGGTTCTTTTAAAAATTAAAATTAGAAACTTGGTGAATATTTCCCACGAGATGCTAGAATTAGTCACCCTAAAGGAGCCATGTCTTCCTCCTCTTAGGAGTGTAGGAGTTTGGCCCATGCTTTGAATTCCTGTGGCACCAGGCTTGCAATCTCCTTCCAGTATTAAAAAGGATGCAAAGCCCAGCAGCTGCTTGCTCGCTGATCACTGCAGTCAGAGTAAGCGAATGCAGAACTGCTAGGGCTATGAGTCGGGTATCAGATGAACTTTGAACAATGTGGTTCATTTGGCAGTGAGACAGAAGAGGCAGAGAAGAACCTGCCTTGCCAGAAGGCCAGTCATGCATGCGGCTAGACTCCTCCAACAGCCAATTCCAAACAGAACAGGAATTGCTTTGCATACATACCAAGAGAAAGAGACAGCAGGGTTTAGGTGTGGTATTCCGACATGCAAATCGCCTTTCAGAGGGAGCCCCTAGGGAGGTCAGCCTAACCCAAATCACAGATTTAATACAAGGATTTTTTCAAAAGAAGCTAGGAATATACTGTTATTTTTGAAACTCCAGGACAGAATGGGGAAGAGATTTTGAATACACAGTATAGTTCAATTATATCCTCATAGCATGATACTATTGACCTGGCCAGGACCCAAACGCAAAGGCTATGGAGAGTTGACCAGGGTGGGAATTGACCCATTATTATGATATGGTTTAGATCTGGGTCACCAACTTTTTATTTTATGAGAGCTGCTTTGGAGTAAAGAAAGATATCCTGAGCTGCTACTTCCCCTCTTACTTGGCATGTTACCTACTTTTGTTTTAACGTTACCAGATATCCTCTTTTTAGAGAACATGTCCTCTTTCTTGGGTGTCCATTCTCTATTATTTAGCCTAAAAAGTTGTGCCGTGAACCACACTGAGCCTGTTTGCAGGGAGGACAGTATAAAAGTCTAATAAAATAAATAAATAAATAATGTTGTTATTTGAAAATAAGGAAAGTTAGGAATATTTCTAGTTAGCAGCAATTATCACAGCTTGAATAGCAGGGGTATTTACAATGAGATTTCTCATAGCGATCACTTATTTGAAGTAGTCAGTTGGGAAATACGTCCTCCAGTTTGTTTTTCAAAATATGGTAACCCTAGTTTTCTTCAAGAAATAGAACATGGACTAGCAAAAGGACCAGAAAGGAAATTATCAGCTAAGCAGCACAGAGGAAAATCGTAAAAAGTAAAGGCTTTTTAAGAAAAAGTCAGAGCAGATCTTTTCCTGGGTCCCAACTTTTTTTATTATGATGACCCACATGTCCAAATTGACTTGATATGGTGACCCACCTTAAAAACAGAGCATGTACAAATCGATACAACTGCAAAGGCCTGGGAGTCACTTTCACAGGTTTTGTGACCCACTTTGGGGTCAGGAAGCACAGGTTGGGAAATACTGTTCTAGAGGACATATGAACTAGTGTGCAGCTGCTGGTGAGCTACCTGTCAGATAACCCTGGTTTAGATGCCACTTAGGGATTCCAGCCTCCAGGTGGGGCCTGGGGATCCCCCGGAATTACAGCTCTTCTCCAGACTACAGAGACCAGTTCTCCTGGAGAAAATGGATGCTTTGGAGTGCACTCTATGGCATTATTCCCCACTGAGGTCCCTGCCCTCCCCAGGCTCCACCCCCAAATCTCCAGCAGTTTCCCAATATGGGCTTGGTAGCTCTACCTCCCCATCTCCCAGCCAGTGACCAAGGGGAACCTGGCAACCAATGCTCCCTCTAAGCTGTGGAGTCTTGTGAGCAAAAATGCTGCTTTGTGAGCTACTGGCATTAAAGTTGTGAGTGAGCAATTTGGCTTCTGCATAAATTAGTTTGCTCTGGAGCTGCCCTTCCTGAGCTAAGAAAAAAATGTGTGAGCCAGAGGCTAAAAAACTGTGAGCTAGCTCACACTAACTCAGCTTAGAGGGAACACTGCTGGGAAAGAAAGAAAGAAAGAAAGAAAGAAAGAAAGAAAGAAAGAAAGAAAGAAAGAAAGAAAGAAAGAAAGAAAGAAAGAAAGAAAGGCTGTTTCTTCCATGGCTCTATGAGACTGTATGTACCGGATGGGACTGTAGCGCATGGAGAAGCTTGTAGTGATCTCATCCTGAGCCTGGCTCTCTCACCCCATAAATCCTGCACCCCTTCCATTTCTGTTAGCCTCCATAACGATTTGCTGTATTTCCCAATATCTCCTCTTTTGTTTTGGGGAGATTTAGAAATACATTTTCCTGTCTCAGTCTCATGCCCTTTCAATGCTTATTTCTAACCTCCTTTTCTTCTTCTTCTTCTTCCCAGCCGTGCTGAGACATGAACTTTTCCTGCCCTCTTCTTCAAGCATGATGGTTTCTTGGTCAGTGGTGTCCAGTGCACTCTCCTCTCTTTCCAGCCCACCTGGGAAAAGTTCTAGCTCAGACACATCCTTCTCACCCAGCTCTTCAAGAGCTTGCCTCTCTCTGTGAAATGAGCTGTAGGGTCGAAGTTCATCTGATACCTTCATCCTGCAAAAAAGTCCACAAAGAAGAAAGCTGGATTCGCAGATGCTAGTGGGTCTCTGCATTTCTCTTAAGCAGCTAAATAATTGGGAGGGGGGATCCAAACAGTTCTTTTGTTCAACTAATTCCCCTCCTTATGGCAGCCCCTGTCCCACATGGCTTTTGGCTGCACCGGTCCCATGTTCCCAAGCATAGCCTTTTTGGTGATCCAAGGGGAACATGTCCTTTCTTTTTCATCAGCACAAAAGCTGGCTGGATCTAACCCCAAGTTAGCCCCATACACATGTTCTACGTACATTCTCATTCAGGCAGCTCCTTAACAGCAACCTCCATGGATTTGTCTACATTCTGGAAAGGTGGCTTCTTCTTTTCAAAACAGACAGCCACTTGTCATATTAAAAGCAGTATCTATGTGAATGGATATTCCATACAAGGAAAAAAAGACACTTACCCCTCAGCTCTTTTACTATTATGCCCAAAATATTTCATGCATTAATCCCAGTACAGATGCTACAGCTATACGCTTCCTTCTCCATTACAGCCCAGTGCTTCTTCTATATCTTACCCTGTTCATCTCTATAAGTGCCGTCCTCCTCAGATTCTACAGTTGCAATGCTATAGCCCAAAGGAACAGGCACCTTCACTTGAGTGCCACCTTGGCATTGACACCGGATAAGCAAGAGGAGAGAATTCTGGGCCTATCAAATCTACAGACTGAAATCTGAATCTAACCGGTCAGGTTCTTCTGCAAGCAAGCAGTTCAAAGAGATAACAAAGGAAAGGAAATCTCCATCTTGCGTCTGTGCATTCTGAGGATGAGGTTAGCATGTCCATCAGCATCAAATGCATTCTCTCTTGCTACATAGCTGGAAGCAGGAGGGGAAAGACAAGTCCCATAACTAATTCAGTTTAAGAATGTTAATTGACAAGTGGGTAGGAGGACCTTCAAAATCCCATGTATATCCAGCCATCCGGGAGGGAAAAAACTAAAGCACTATATATTAGGGAGACAGGCAGTTATTTATGCCTACAGTTTGGATGATCTATGTGTAGAGAACAAAGGGAGCTCTACTGTAAACTAGAAAGCCACACCCCTTTAACAAATCCTATTTTCCAACCCTCAAGCTGCAAGCAAAACCAACACTGCATCTATATAAAGTTCAGAGTGCATAAATTGCAATGATCTGTGGCAAAGTAGGGTTATCAACCTGCAGATGATGCCTGGAGTTCAGATCACAGAGATCAATTCCCCTGGAGGGAATGGCTGCTTTGGAGGGGGGACTCTATGGCATCACATCCTTGCTAAGCTTCCTTTCATCCCCAAACTCTGCCTTCCATAGGCACTGTCCCCAAATCTCCAGGTACTTCCCAAGCCAGAGTTGGAAACCTCTGTGGCAAAGTGTTACCACTTCTGCATGAATACAGTTTCTTATAGCAAGTAGCAATGCAGCTGGAAATATTTCCAAAAACACTACTTGTTCAGTTCCAGTCCCACAGAAAAGTGAAGGGAGGCTGAACTCTCACTTAAAGATGGGTCTTTGTCTTATTCAGGGCTTCTGTTCTTCAGTGGATGACAGGAGAAGGGGAGAGGTTCCTTACAGAATTCTTAAAAATTGCAATGATAATTTTGAAAAAAGGACTTCCGGTGATGGCAGCGCGCTAGAGCAGACTCACCTCCCGGACCTCCCGGGGGTGAAGCTGCGTTCCAGCTAAAGGAGGGGGTGCGCAGGTTCGTCACCCCCCCCGGGACCCGGTTGAAGGAACCCTGGCCATGGAACTTCTGAGAGGTCGCCTCTTTGATGGCGGAATGCCGGAGAATTGAGGCGCCTCTCCATTCCAATGGTTCTCTGTCCTGAGAGACCGAATGGACTTAAGCAACGCTAACTGGGGCAAGCGCAGGAGATCGAGCTTCCGAAAGAGAATGTACACAAGGTCCGAGGACCGATTATGAAAGTGAGTCGTTTAAGCAATGTTTAAAGAGAAAAGAAAGCTCCCTACCCTAACCTACGCAGCAGAGATTAAGGCGAGCGGGGGAGGGACGCCTCCCAAGTGCATGAATTTTTTAGCAAATGAGGGGGGGAGCAGAAGAAAAACCGGTTAAAACAATTAAGAAGTACTTACCAAGAAGTGCTTGAGCGTTTAAGCGCATATTCAAAGACTTTCAAAAAATTTGCGAAAGTAAATAAACCGAGGAACATGGCGGGGAAGAGGACGGAAAAGGAGAAGTTGCTGAAATCGAAAGTGACAGAGAGCCCAAAACCGGAAGGAACCAACAAGCTGGCAAAGATTTTGGCAGAATCCATGCGCCCTCTAATGGACCAGCTGAATAACTTCAAGGAACAGATGTCTAATATGACTCAATGTATCACCGCTCAGCAAACCCAGATAAATGAGCCTTTAAAATGATGAATCAAACAGCTGAGAAGGTGAAAGAAGTGGATGCCACTGCCCAAAAGGTGAAGAAAAAAGTAAAACAACTGGAAAAGAAGCAAGTCTCCACAGAAGATCAACTACAAATGGAAAAGGCTAACATGATTCTTTGCTTTCAGGGCTTGCCAGAGATTAAAGGAGAGAATCTAAAGGAAATGATGAGTGAAGTAATGGCCCCAGTGACAGAGATGAAGGCGGAACTGTTGATAAGCGATATGGATGTGGCCTATAGGTCATATTCAGGATATATAAAGAAAAACAATCTGCCTGGGGAAATTGTTGTAAGATTCTCGAAGAGGCACGTGAGGGATGAAATCCTGAAAGCAGTATATAGAGTACCCCTGAAAGTTGGGGAAAATGTCATCAGAGTTCTAAAAGATATTCCATTTGAAATAAGACAAAGGAGAAAGAAATATAAAGACCTTATTCTTTTTCTTCAGACAAATTCAATTGGATATAGATGGCTAACTCCAGAAGGCGTCACATTCAAAATCAGGGACAATAAAGAAAAGATTGACCCTATTCTGAAAGCTCGGGAATTTTTAAGAGTCCAGTTGGGAGGGCCAGAGGAGGAAGAAAAGGAAGGGGAGGACAGTAAGTCCAATGGCGAGCTGGACTCGGATTCTTCCGGAAAGGACCCTCTTTCAGAGAAAGGGGCTGCAGCTCCTAAAAGTCCTTATAAACTGCAGAAGAGACGAGGCAAGGAGAAGTGAAGGCTGAAGGACTCTGAGTTGTGCCTTGGAAAATTTTTGAAATGAGATGACTTGGGGTATTTCTTAATGACAGTAAATTTTAAGAACTGGAAAGTTAATGTTAAACTTGACTCAGTTTGTAAAGGGATTAGCGGTATTAAGGCTTGATTGTTTAAACTGATCAGAAGTTCTCCTCTCTTGGGTTTTTAGTTAGTAGTGGGTATCTTTCTTTTATCCCATAAATGTAGTTCCCCCTCCCATTTTCTGTTGTAGTTTGTAGTATTATAAAAAATGCAATAAAAAATCCCCTCCAGGGGCATAAAAAAAAGATAATTTTGAAAAAAGGACATAATTATATTAGGTTCTGAATACAAAACATTTTTTTAAAACCCTGAATACGTAACGAACACACACCAGTTTTAACCTATCAATGGGGCCACAGAGAGAAAAAAATATATGTAAACATCACAAATTATGAAATTGAGTTATACACTTTGGCTATAATCCTCAACACAGGTACCTTGAAGTAATCCCTTTGAAATCAAGAAACGCTGATCAATAACCATTCTAACAAACATTGTAGGGATTAGAGGGTACTTGGAAAAAGACAGATAACCTGGGGGGTGTTTTTTTTTTTAATGTGTAAGTATTTGCTTAAAGTACACAAGTCAAACTAGTCTATTGCTTTGGAGTCCCAATACCTTTAAAAAAATCAAAAAAATGAAATACATTTTTAACAAGCGAGCATATATGATTTAATCTAAAAGAATCCTTCTTATATCCACAACCTCTCTGAACCATTTATTAGCACTAACCTGGTCCTCTTCTTCCATTTCTTAGCATAGGTTTTAGATTCTTCCCAGATCTGTTTATAAGTGAAGGAATATGTTGGTGCAGTTGTCATCTTGATGTCGTTATGCAGGGTAAAAATCAAACACAGTACAACAAAATCACTGATAAGACAACAGTTTCAGTACGCAATCTATATCTATGACACATGAATGCAGTTACAACAGACTCCAGCATAAATCAGGAGTCCTTTTGAAGGAGTCAACAGTGGAGACATGTAAAAGGAGTACCTACTAACAGAATCTTGTATCCAAGGAAAGGTTTGTTTGTTGTATTCACAGTTGTCTGAACATGTCTTTACTTTTATCAGGTGACAAGGAGTGTATGTACGTTTACACTGATTCAAGCGAGAAAAATACGGACAGTTTTTAAAGGCCTAACAGTATGTCACAATCATATTTATTTTTCCAGAAGAACAGGAAAACAAAGAGTAGAAACAATGCTTGATTTAAACTCAGATGTTTCTTCACGGCATATACTTTGCAAACACTGCAGTTTCTAGGGCTGCCAGCAACCTTGGGACAGGGTTGCCAGCTCCGAGTTGGGAAATTCCTAGAGATCTTTGGGGTGGTAGAGCCTAGGCAGGGCAGGGTTTAGAAGGTGAGGGACCTCAGCAGTGTATAACTCCATACAGTCCACCCTCCCGAGTAGCCATTTTCCCCAGGTGATGGAGATCAGTTGTAATTCCAGGAGATCACCGGGCCCCACCTGAAGGCTGAGGAAAAAAGATCCTGATCCTTTAATACAGATTTAATGTGTGGAAATGGGCAGGTGAATCGTCTCATAGCTTGAAGGTAAATAACATCCCATTAAGCTTCTTTTAAGGGGCAGGATACGTTTTTCTCCAGGGAGCCGCCAATCCTAGCAGTTTCATATTAGACTAAATTAGTCAAAACAGTTCAACTGTTCCCACTGCCTCAGCCTACTGCATTACCCCCCCCCCAAAAAAAAGAACAGATAAGCAAGCAAAAGGGCAGCAAAATGAACTGTAAATTTCACACATGCCCAGTGTTACTACTAGATAAAACACTGGACCTCAAAGACTTCTATGTGTGCCAGAGTCCATGAGCAAGTAGAAGCACTAACATTACTCTTTATCTCCACTTATCTTTTCTATCCCTGACGTGGATAGCCCAAGCTAGCCTGATCTTGTGAAGCTCAGCAGGGTTGGCCCTGGTTAGTAACTTGGATGGGCGACCACTAAGGAATACCAGGGTCGCAATGCAAAGGCAGGCAATGGCAAACCACCTCTGAACGTCTCTTGCCTTGAAAACTCTATGGGGTTGCCATAAGTTGTCTGATACATGATGGCATTTCCCACTTATCACCACCATCTTCTCCGTGTGCGCAAGACATAGGCACAAGGTGTTTCCTCGAATACAATTTCAAAAGCAGACTAAATAAAAGATAAAAACTGCTGTACATCCCTTGGCTTCATATGCATTTTTTATTAGTTAAAACTATATTGAGGTGCTATGCACTGCGGCAGTCCTTGCAGTACTGCTTTCACACACGGAACTGCGCTAAGTACATTTTCCACTCATGCATTGCTGGATCCAACCCAATTCCAGAAGAACAGGAAAACAAAGAGTAGAAACAATGCTTGATTTAAACTCAGCAAGTATTACTCTGAATAAGAATTTCGTTTGCTGCACAATCTGTAATTCCCACAGCCAAAGCTTCGACTACATATGGGCAGGGAGGGATTCAATAGACTGTAAATTAGAACCTCAACAGGACATGTGGGCACATGGAGGACTCAGCTGGCCTGATCCAGCAACCTCCTGCAGATAGAGGAATTGGCTTGGGTGTACACAAGCTTTCCCAGGCATAATAGCATCTCCATTCACTTCAACTTTGTATGTGCAAAAACACTAGTAAGGAATATAAGGAGGGTAGTTTGCATTTTAACACAAAATAAGTAATCTCTGAGGTTGGTGAAACAAGGGCAAGACTAGGGATGCCAGGTAATTCCCCTGGGATTATAATTTATCACCAGACTACATCTATTCCTCTGTAGCAAATGGATGCTTAGGAGGGTGGATTCTAAGGCACTGTACCCCACTGAGGTCTCTGTCCTCCCCAGGCCCCAACCCCAAATCTCCAAGAGCTTCCCAACCTGGAGTTGACAAACCTAAACCCCACCCCCCGCCAATGGCCAGGGGGACCTGACAACCCTAGGCAAGATATTGGAGTGACCTTTTGTAGTGGCTAAGAGCTTTCCTTCAGAGTATGTAGATTTCTCTTTCATTTTATATTAGCTCAGGATGAATACTGAATCCTAAAGCCTTGCTAGATATATCTGTGTACCAATATCGAATGTCAAAAAAAATGTAGACAGGATGAGGCAGGCTCTGTAACTCCAACCATGTTTTATGGATCTCACACTCTCCTCTAAGGAAGACTTAATACTATAGCAAGCTCTATGTGCAGGTGCATGTGAAGACAACTTTTTCAGCTCATACAAAGTGAAGTAGCTTGCCTATTGACTGGAACAAATTGACTGGAAAGTATAGCACAATTCAGAGATATCTACATTAGGTAGCGATTTGTTTCTGGGCTCAGTGCAAGGTGCTGATCCTTCATGACTCCCATCTTTGGGACCGTCTCCCGCTATGAACCTGGGTACCAGTCATGTTCCCCCAGACAGTTAGAACAGTTTCAGCCTACTCACACGCTTGTTTAGCAGCAACCCTAGTTTTATCAAATGGGCTCCCATCGGAGATCAGCAGCATTCAGAAAGGCGTGCACAGAAATTCTGTTTAGGAGGACCTTTGCTTAATGGGAACTGGAATCTGTTTATCGGTGTCACGACCTTTTACTTGCTGTAGTTTTATTATTTTTATACAATTCTATTTATTGATTGTTTTTCTTGACATTTCTGTGAGCCTCCTTGGTTTCCCTTCTCTTGTATGAGTAAGGGAAAGGCATGATAACATTATCTTAAATAATAAAACAAAATAACATGGCCCTGGCTTGACATTTTCAGAATCAATCTAAGACCGCAAAGACAGGAGTAAGTCCATTGAACCCAGTGGGTATTGTGTTAGGGTTGCCAAGTCCAGGTTGGGAAATTACTGAAGATTTGGGGTGGAACCTGAGGAGGACCTTTGGTTTGGGGAAGGGAGGCACCTCAGTAGGGTATAATGCCAGAGTCCATTCTCCAAAGCAGCCATTTTCTCCAGGAGAACAGATAAGTGTAGTCTGGAGATCAGTTGTAATTTTGGGAGACCGCCAGGTCCCACCTGGATGTTGGAAAACCACATGGATATGTAAACATAAATTGAATGCTGCAATAAGTATGTATACTAAGTTGGAAGAACATTGCTTTGAAACTAGTGGGAATTACATCTGAGTAAAAATGCTTAGGATCATTTGCATGACCTTTCTGCATTTGGGTCGACAAGGCTAAAAGAACTATTTGTTTAATCCGCTGCAGTTCCTTCTGTTTTTAAATCAGTGGTATCACCCACCATTAGAATCGTTCAAGTTAGAAACGGAAATAAATTCACATGAAATGTTTGGTCAATAATGGATTTGCATGAATTTAAACATATTAAAACATGCAAATAAGTAATGGTATTTGCTCTACAGGAGATATTAGAGAGGGTGGGAGAATGAGGGCAGAACAAGTTCTTATGCATAATTTGAGGCACCAATGGAGTGGATCCTCCCAGCTTTTTCAATACTGCAAAAGAGAGGAGGAGCAGTCTTTAATGACTCCCCTTGTCACTATAGCCCATTTCACATGTTTCCCTCCCACACATGGGACCCAAATCCCTCAAATACTCAGGGGGAGGGGGATGTCAAAAGGCTTTGCTCCTCACTCTTGCAGGAGCAGAAAATCTGGTAGGATCCAACCTAATATTCACCACTGAACCTGCTTTCAACATCAGGTCACAGCTATTATTTAGTATTTTTATCCCACTGTTACTCCAAGGAGCGGACAGTGTACATCATCCGTCTCCCCGAAGGCTGTGAGATACTTTAGGCTGAGAGCGTGACTGGCTCAAGGTCATCCACTGACCTTCATGGAAGAGTGGGGAGCTGAACCTGTCTTATAGAGCCTAGACCAACACTTTTAACCAATAAATCATGTGGTTCACCAGCATGTGAATAAAACATGTCCCTGGTTATGAATGACCGATTCTGTAGGGCAGCTCAATTTGCCCTGAGGTAGGGTTACCAGACACCCTCTTTTTAGAGGACGTGTCCTCTTTTTTTGGTTGTCTGTCCTCTTTGGGGTTCTTTTTTAAAAAACTGATGAAAATGTCCTATTTTGGGGTTGGAAGGTTAGAAATATTCTTAGTTAGGAGCAATTACTACAGCTTAAATAGTCAGTGTTATTTAAAATGAGATTTGTCATAGTGAACACTTGTTTGAAGTAATCAGTCGGGAAATAGGTCCTCTTTTTTGCTTTTCAAAATATGGTATGGAAGGCAAGAGAGGACATCCAATTAGGGACTTCACACCATCAGTAGCCTTTAGTTCCAGCACACCTACTCCCAGCTATTAAGATGTATTGGGACAGAGAAAATAATCCCCAGGTTTTTTTAGCTATGCTGTTTAGGTTAGGATCAGAGAAATCAGATACTGAATACCAATAAGAGTAGGGGAAAGCTAGGGAATGAGGTTAGGCCCGAATCCCTGACCAGCACCCAGGGAAATGGGGGCATGAGAGGCAAACTGGGATCTTGAAAAGTCTCAGGGCTAAATGGTTAAAGACACAGCTTGAGAAAATGCCAGGAACACGGAAAGCAAGATATGAGACTGCAGAATTTATTCTATGCCAGTATATTTTAACAGCTTGTAACTGTTTCAAAGGAACAAGGTTGGCTGGGAACAGGTTGTCTGAGAAAAGAACCTGACAGGCAGGGGATTCTTTCTGGTAGACTGAATAGCAAGAAACTTAAATTTCAGGTTTGGAATACAGGACGATTAAAGAGAAAAAACGGGGTGGGGGGCGTGGAAGAGATAGGGGGAATGGAAAGGATTAAGACTAACCTCAGAACAGCGTACCTGCACACAAAAGCTTATACCTTGAATAAAAAAATTGTTGGTCTTAAAGGTACCACTGGACTCAATTTATCTAATTTAGTTGGCTTAAATAAAAGCATTTATTATAAACCCTGCGAGTAGGTAAATTAAAGCTCAGAAAGTTAATAACCTGCACTCCCCTGTATATCTGGAGGAAAGGTTTTTACAGCAGACAGCATTATTTTCATGACTGTGTTGCAGCACCTTACTTAGTCAACGCTAGCCTATGACGAGCTCGTTCAACAGCA